CTCGGGGTGCAGGGGGCCCACGGGGGTGGGGGCGCTGGTGTCAGGAAGGGCTTGGGCAGAGGCCAGGGACGGAGCGTGCCAGTGCGGATGTGGCTGGAAGGGACAGCGGGCGGAGGGAAGAGAAGGTGCAGGCTCCCACGGAGGTCAGAGCCATGCGTGTGGAGGTCAGGGTTGCGTGGACAGAGGTCAGAGCTGTGCAGACAGAGAACCCGGCAGGGCCCTGTGGCCCCTGGTGAAGAGGTGGGCTCCTCCGTGGAAGGAGGAGAGGCCACTGGAGGGGCTTCAGCAGAAGAGACATCATCTGACTCAGATTCTTAGAAGGTCCCTCGGAACAGGGGTCAGCGCCCTGCCCTCGAGGGCCAGCCACCGGCTTTGGGGAATGGAGCCCACCGGGATCACGGTCACGCCGTTCACATTGGCCTTGTCTGTGGCTGCTCTGTTGGAAGAACTGAGTGACTGTGACAGAGACCATGTGACCCGCCACGCCTGAGGCATTCATTCTCCAGCCCTTGGCAGAAACATGTGGCCACCCACTGACTCCGGTGAACAGAAGTCAACGGGGCTGGACATTTGTTGCAGTCCCCCAAGTATGAGGGCGGGACTCGAATCAGAACGCTGGCAGGGCCGTTATGAGAAGTGGCTCTCATTCAGATACGTGGAAAGTCAAGGCCGGGAGCGGAGGCCCATGCCTCTCATCGTAATACTTTGGAAGGACAAGGTGGGAGGATTGCTTGAGCCCAGGAGTTTGAGACCAGCCTGGGCTACATAGCGAGACTCCGTCTCTACAAAAAATAAAAAATGTAGCTGGGTGTGGTGGTATGCACCTGTAGTCCCAGCGACTCGGGAGACTGAGGCAGGAGGATCCCTTGAGCCCAGAAGTTGGAGGCTGTGGTGAGCCACTGCACTCCACCCTGGGTGACGGAGTGAGACCATGATTCAAAAAAAAAAAGAGTCAGAGAATTTGATACTGAACCCCTAGTCAGTGCATGACCCTGCTCTAGTTTTTGAAGGGCAGTGGTTCCCAGACCTTTGAATTTCATAGAGAAGTTTAAAATTTTTTAAATAGCCTGGGCGCAGCGGCTCAAGCCTATAATCCCAGTGCTTTGGGAGGCCGAGGCGAGTGGATTGCTCAGTGAGCCCGCAGGTTCAAGACCAGCCCGGGCAACTTGGTGAGACCTCATCTCTACAATAAATAAAAAATTAGCCTGGCGTGGTAGCACATGTTCGTAGCTCTGGTTACTCGGAAGGCGGAGGCGGAAGGATCGCCGGAGCCCAGCAGGTCGAGGCTGCGGTGGCCGGGAGGGGCCGCTGCATTCCAGTCTGGGCGACAGAGCGAGACTTCAACTCAAAAAAATATTTTTTCTAAAAATAATTTCTTAATACATAAAAGAGATGGGAGAGAACTAGAATAGTTTTCCCAAATCTTATTTTACTGGATAAGAGTGGGAAGAAATCTCCTGCCATTGGCCTTCGGCGCCCTTTCCAGAAAGAGCAGCTCTTTTTTTTTTTTTTTTTTTTTTTTTTTAGTCCCAGGCTTATTGAAAATATTACGGCATCACAGAAAGACTCAAACAGCTCCTCGTGGTGTTTTGAAGTTCATCCCAACCGTCGGCTAAGTGACCTGCAGGTTGGACAGACTGCCCGAGTCCAAAAGCTTCAGCATTTCCTTAGTGTCAGGATCTACTTCAATGATCTCCTGATCCAGGGCTGAGACCTCTGGAACGGGGCTGTCCCTCCTTCTCTCTCCGCCTCCTGCAACTTGATGGAGATGCCTCTCAGCGGGCCGCTCTGGATCCGCTTCGTCACATGCGTGACCTAGCCGGTATCTTGTCACGGAGCTTCTTGCTGGGAGTAATGGCGATCTCCTCGCACGCGCGCTGGTTCGTGTGGAAGTCGTTGCCCAGGCGCGTGTAGGACTTCTCAGTGATGACCCGGGCCGCCTTCTTCACGGTTTGGGTTCGAACGCGGCCCCTGTGGGTGGGTCCTTGGTAAAAGAGAAAACAGGAAGCACAAGAGAAGCCTTTCAAGAACAGCTCTTTTAACAGGAAAAGGAAGGACGATGTCATGGTCCTAGCTGAATGGCTCTCGGGTCGCAGAACACGCCGTCTGGCAAAGTCCCGCGTGGCCCTTCGGAAGCGGCTGCCGCCGGGCTGCTGAGATAAATAACAGCGGACGATGTCCTGAGTACAGGACAACTCCCACGCCACGCTGAGGCCAGGTCTGGTCAAGCAGATGGGACGTGTGCAGAAGAGTCCAGGCCCGGGAGGCTCAGAGTCCCGCTCCCAGCAGGGGTGCCCAGGATGGCTTCTCGGAGCCTTGGGCACTGGCCCCAGGCCTGGAAGGGAGGCAAGGAGGATTCGGAAGTGAGATGAGGAGGCGGAGAGTCAGGAAAGTTGTGGAGGCAGCAGAGTGTTGGCGGGAAAGAGCTTTTCTCCGTTTGTTTGTATTTATTTTTTGAGTCGAGATCTCGCTCTGCCGCCCAGGCTGGAGGGCAGGGGCACGATCACAGCTCTCTGCTGCCTCCACTCCCTGGGCTCGGGCGATCTTTTGGCCTCAGCCTCCAGAGTAGCTGGGACTACAGTCGCACACCACCACGTCTGGCCTTTTTAATTTGTGTGTGTGTGTGTGTGTGTGTGTGTGTGTGTGTGTGTGTGTGTGTGAAGTCTCATTTCATTGCCCAGGCTAGAGTGCAGGGACACACTTACGGCCACCCCAGCGTCGACCCGCTGGGCTCCGGTGATCCTTCCGCCTCAGCCTTCCAAGTAGCTGGAAACACAGGTGTGCGCCATCACGCCCAGCTAATTTTTAAAAATTTTTATTTAAGGTAGACACAAGGTCTCACCATGTTGCCCAGGCTGGTTGCGAACTGCTGAACTCAGGAAATCCTCTCGCCTCTGCCTCCCAAAGTGCTGAGATTAAAGATGTGTGCCACCACACCCGGCACACATTTTTTGTAGAGACGAGGTCTCGCCACATTGCCTAGGCTGGTCTCGAACCCATGGGCTCAGGCAATCTTCTTGCCTCGGCCTCCCAAAGTGCTGGAGTGACAGGCATGAGCCACCATGCCCCGCCAATTTTTAAATTTTTTGTAGAGGTGAGGTCTTGCTATTTGCCCAGGGTGGTCTCAGACTCCTGGGCTCAAGCAGTCCTCCCGCCTCAGCATCCCAAAGTGCTGGAATGACAGGGGTGCACCACCACACCCAGTATTTCGCCTTCCTTTTTTTTTTTTTTTTTTTTT